GGCAGCAAGAGAAGCCAAGATTAAGAGTCACATTGCCAATCAAAGAATCACACAAACAAGACTGGAAATGGAGTTAAACAAATTGAAGTCAAAGTATGAAAATGATATGGCGGCAAAGAAAGCTGAGATTAGGAGTCACATTACTACGCAACAAGAATATAAAGAGAGACGGAAATTACTGCAAATGTGGCTGGGAAGAAGTGTAGAGTCATTTGAAGAAATAGTTTAAAATTTGTAAAAATAATCCTGTGCTATTTTATTGTACTGTTCTAATTACAATAGCTGTATTAGTTTCATATATCATGTTATTACTTTTTGCTACTTTTTGACTTACCATATACATGTATAAATTTATGATAAGAATGCTAGTTTACATGCAAAAGCTTACAAATTATGTTATTCTCAGATATATACATGTAGAAGGGGAACAGCTAGGAGGTGAGGGGTCTGAAATTTGTTCAATGTGACCAAATTTTATCAAAATTACATAGAGACATAGACATTTTAGTTTCTAAAATAAGCAATTATACATACATTAATTGATGTTACACACACATCTTAGTTAGATCAACTATCTAAATTTACTACATCATAAGCAACATTTTTATTAGTTTTAGGAGTGACCTGCTTGAATTCATATGCTTCATTACGTTTAATAAGTACTGGTGAGGCAGACGCTGTAATTAATAATTAAAGTAATACAAATATTGGTATACTTACTATGTGGATGTCTTCTCAACTTGCACAATATAACGATTATCAATAATAATGCCATTACAATAAAACCTGCTATCACTGTGATGATGACTAACTTGAATAATACACATTCATAATACAGATACTGTACTAACCAGGAATAATGATATCAAGTGAACTTATAGTAGACGTTGTAGGTGTTGTAGAAGTAGTAGTGATATTGGGATATGTATCTGTTAATGTAATACTTGAATGTGCAATGTAAACACATACAATACTAACTCACCAAATGCTAGTATAAATGGTTCACTACTACCAGCCTCATTGCTAAATACAATACTGATATTACACTGTTCATATAATGGTACTGATATTAATCCTGTTATATCATTCATATTCCTTATTTGGTAAGTTGTACTGCTATCAGTTCCATTACACTGTACAGTAACTGTAACATGTTCAGGAGCTTCACCAGTGCACTCCACAATAATCTATAAATGGCAATAATATTAATAATAATGGTATTAATATTTAATAACATACTGGAATATAGAACTGGGTAATAACCACATCTTGTGTATAAGCAAGTTTGTCAAGTGATAATGTGCCCATGTTTGTTGATCTTGGTACTATAGCAGTGCAGTAAACATATAAACATGAATTAGTGTATGCCCCATACCTCTTTGATATGAGAATGTAGCATTATTAGATATTCCTTCTCCTAATTCATTAACTCCAGTTATAACATATGTATAACGATGAATAAATAAATTATTATCCACAAACTGATAATTGGTATCATCTACTGCTGTAATATTCACTAGACTACCAGTAATAAAATCATATATTCTTAGTATGTAATACAGTATAGATACTCCATCAGGAGCAGTCCATGTTACACTAATAGTAGAACAGTTGTCAGTGGAAGAGTTGATGTTAGTAACTGGTCCAGGAAAACCTAATATTATGCAATGATAAAAAAGTAAACAAGAGGTTTACTTACCAAATGTAAAAGATGGAATTTTATTAAAGGTCCCTCCATTGTTACTCATAGATACATTAACAATAAATGTATTTAAATTATTAGGTACAGTTATTACTCCAGTAATCATCAGTTGATCATTAACTTGTAGTGGTATACTGGCATTGTTTATTACTGTGCTAGTAGTATTCAGTATACTAACTGTTATACTATTAGGATACTTTCCTTTACATAAAGTGCTGACCTGTTATCATGGGAATAAGGAGAACAGTTAAAGTTACGTAAACTATAACTGCATCTAATTCTTACATCAATACTGATATTCAATAATATTATTTGTCCATCAATTACTGGTACTATTGATACAGGAGGATTAATGAGAGGAACTGAAAGATACACTGTGAACATATACATGAAGCCATAGTAATGCTAACCTCTTTCATAATAAAAACTGATATTATTAGATGAACCTATTCCAACATCATTAATAGGAGAAACTGATACATTATTTAATATAAAAGGATCAGGATTAGTAGCTGATAATATAATACTCTTGTTAGTAGTAGTAATGTTCACTAATCCATTGACTATATAGTATCCAGTGATAGGTACATTATCCAGTGTATAAGGAGCTGTCCATCTTAATAATACACTGGATCCATTAATAAAGGTATAATCCAGATCAACAACACTATCCAATAGACCTGAAGGAGAAATAATGATAAATATATAATATGGGACCACACTAACCTTGTATCATTAATATTGTTGTGTTGCTGAACTGTAGCTGAAGTGGATCATGAGTAAGAGCTCTACACCTCACTTCAGTATTATTATTATAATCATAAGCTTTTGCTTGTAGCTCTGCTCTTATAGTACCATTATTATTGTCTGTTGTCACTCTAAATCCTTTAGCTATAACAGTGTCAAGAGTTGCTTCTTGATTATTAACTGTGAAGGAAAGGCCGTCAGCCACAGCTTCACAAGAGAAGACAACAGTAGAGTTAAGTGTTGTATTAATAGACACTGGTTGTACTGTTATAGCTATAGTAACAAGAGTGGATATAAATTAGACTCAGTGGAACTTTAGTACGTGCATACTTACAAGCACCATCAATGTGCAGTAGCAACAGCAGCAGCAGCAAAAGAAAAGTCAAGCTCAAGTAAGTAGACATCATGATAAAATAAAAGAAGGGCGTGCACCATAAGATGGCTGGCAGGTCACTACCCAGGTCTGTGCTTCTCGCTACAAATCCTGCTTTTGCAGTGCCGTTCTTCAAGACAGGAGCTGATCTATTTTTGCAGGCAACCACCCGGTCCGGAAACCTTCTGAAGCAAATGTAATAGAAAAACAGGAAACGTTTCCTACCACTCTATCATGCAAATTGGAAACCTAAAATTTATAACTAGTATCTACTCAATTAGCAATTAACTAAAGAAGGGTGTAGCTACAGTCATGATCTTGAGCTATAACTGACTGATCAGGCCCGTAGCCAGGGGGGGTTCGGGGGGTTCGGACGAACCCCCTGTTGTAGCTGCAAAAAAGTTTTAGATTAGCTCCTGTCATGAAGAACAGCACTGCAAAAGCAGGATTAGCATTTTGGCACTCAGCGAGAAGCACAGATAGCCATTTTAGCTGAGTCAGCACATGGCTGAGATGCGTAAATTAAGACCACGCTTACCAACCACGCCCATTTTCGTCAAACTTTTCGCTGCGCGCAAAGGAACCCCCTGTTTCAACATAGATACTAAGTTCCTGGCTACGGCCCTGCTGATTCATCCATTTGCAGTGATCCTCTTGAATTTTCTGGTAAGTAAGTGATAGCCTACACTTAGTTTTTCATTATATCTAGATTGTGTCTATTAGCATCAAGTTGCCATTACTAAGGGTGAGAAAAAGGACATTATTTATTTATTCTTATTATTTATTATAACACTTTACAACACATAGAACATATAGAGACAGAGAGGAAAACAGGAGAATTAGATGTGTTGAAGGACTAACACCAAAGTACTGGAGTAGCCTGAGAAGTTTAGAGGGAGTAGAGAGGATAGGATGAGAGAGGAAGAGATACTAAACATATACACAACAAAAACAAAATTACAAAAATTAATTAATTAATGATAGAAATGTAATTAATTGCATGAGCAACAAGGACAAAGGAAGTGGAATGAACATGAGTTGTTAGAATCAAAATTGTACTGGAAGTGGTTCCAAAGATGGTTGGTGATTTCACGCTTGATTGAAGGAACTGATCTGGTGATGTCTATCGCAGATAGTTTGTTCCAAAGACGGACAAGTCTGTTGAAATAGAAGTGATGTGACTTAGTTGTTCGACAGAAGTTGTGTTTAAATTTATGTTGGACAGAAGACCGAGTTGAGAGATTACTGAATGATACGTATTGTAGAATGGATACGTTGTCAGAAGGATATTTGATAGCACTGACAAAGTACATAATGTCATTCAACTCTATAGCCAATACATGAGTGGTAGCGTGTCTAACAATTGGAGTCGTTCTTTATAGGAGGAGGAGTAATTACCCAGTATGTATTTGGTGGCTCGCCGTTGGATTCTCTCTAGTAGCATTATGTCTTTCTTTAGATTAGGTCTCCACAGTTGGGAACAGTATGCTAGTTTGGACTGAACAAGGGAAATAAATATACAGTATTTTCTTTACAGTCACGTCCACTGTTGAGAAGGATCTTTTAATCAGGTAGAGGGAGGCATATGCTTTTGAACTGATGTGTCTATAGTGGTCGCTCCAGGAGAGGTCACTCCTTACCATAAGACCAAGATCTGTGTGGGATTCTAGGGTTGGTATAGTTGTACCATCAATCTCATATAGAGGGAGAGAGGTTACAGTGGAAAAAGAGAATCGACCAGCCACACACTTATGTGAGTTCAGGAGGAGAAAGTTGTCTTCAGACCAAGCTGCCAGGGAATTTATATCTTCCTGTAGGTGGTAAGAGGATGATGAAACCTGCTGCAGCTTGGAATCGTCAGCGAAGAGATACAGGTCAGAGTGGTTTATGACACTGGAAACATCATTAATAAACACAAGGAACAGAAGGGGCCCCAAGATACTCCCCTGAGGGACTCCTGAACTTACTGGTAGAAGGGATGAGGAACAACCATCAATACATACATAGTGTTGACGATGGGCCAGGTAATCCCTAAACCAACACCACAAAGGACCAGTGATACCCAGGCGCCAAAGTTTGAACAGAAGAATGGAGTGTGGAACCAAATCGAAAGCCTTACGAAAATCGAAGTATACTTGGTCAACAGAGTTCCCCTTCTCACAGTGACTCATTATAATAGAGAAAGATGACAGGAGTTGAGATACTGCAGAATGATTTCTGAGGAATCCAAATTGATTTTGACACTACAGGCCCTTGATAAAAGGAATAACTTTATTGTAGATGATAGATTCCAGGATCTTAGATAGTATGCATCAGACTTGGGTCAAATACAAATAGTATTTGTAATTAGTCGTATTTAAATACTTTTGAAAGTATTTGTATTTGTATTTGTAATTTGAGTTTTTGTAACAGGAAGTATTTGTATTTGTAATTGAAATACAGCAGGGAAGTATTTCAAAATACAGCAAAATACTTTAAAATACTTCAATGTGGATGAAGATGCTGTTTGAGTGACAAAACTTTGAAACACTAACGTTCATTAAATACAATACATGACTATAACTAAATATTATTGATTATACATGCATGCATAATGAAAAGAGGCTTTCAATTTACTTGATTGATTAATTCATAAAACTACGAAGTTAATAACTGTCCATACTTGAGAAGAAAGTATTTGTATTTGTAATTGAAATACATGCATGCAGTATTTGTAATTGTATTTAAATACAAAGCTGAAAACAGTATTTGTATTTGTATTTGTATTTTTGTTTTTGTACAGTATTTGTATTTGTATTTAAATACTTCCATGTTGTATTTGACCCAAGTCTGGTATGCATCATGAAATGGGTCTGTAGTTACTAGCACAGTGTCTATCACCAGTCTTAAAGACTTATCTTTAAGGCTTATCTTGAAGGTTATCTTGTGGATTTTCCATTCATCTGGGACACGGCCATACACGATGGACTCCTGAAAAAGACTGGTGACGAATTGTACTATGGCCGAACCAGCTACCAGCACAAAGTTTGATAAAACAAGGGCTGAGTTGAAACAAAGCGAACTCTGGAAATATTAAAGTCAAATTATGTCAAGAGACTTGTGGATGAGATGGGAAAAAAGAAGCAGAATTGAAAGAAATTATAAGAGTAAATGAATCATATGCAAATAGAATACAGATAGATGAAGGTATTGCAACAAAGGAAGCAGAGATTGAAAGTCATATTGCCAAGCTTAGAGAATATAGAAGTATTATGAAGCAGCAAAAAGAAGTAAAAACATAGCTGGGAAGAGGTATAGAGTCATTAGAAGAAAAAACTTTTGAAATTCGAATGTGGTACCCCAAATTATGCTATGTTTTGATTTTAATTGTAATATTTATTGTATTATTAATTACTTTTTCCTTGATTTATTTTGGATTTAGGAAGATCATTGACATGCTAATAATATTTTTCAGTTTCATAATGTTATTTCTTTTTAATATTAATTTTTTCTAAAAGTCATTTCAACAAATTAAAATTAATAATAATAATTATAAGAAACATTACCAAAATCCGTCTATTTTCCGTAAATCAAATTAATTGCTATGGCAACACCGTTTGAGCTTCGAGGCTAGGACTAGGAGCTCAAGATGATGGCTAGAAGGCAAATACTGTTTACTAAAGGAGATGTAGATAGAATGAGAGCAGAGAACAGGAGGAAGGAGGTAGAGAGGACGGAGCAGCTCAAAATGGTGGCACAAGACAAACTAATGCGGGCCAACATGGCCTCCGAGGAGAGAGTGGAAAAGAAGATACTAGCTAGAATGTAACAAAAGCAATGTGTGACTGTGTAGTGTATGTTTAATGGTGCCTTTTAGATTGCAGAAAGAGGCCACAGAGAAAGAAACAGACGAGAAGATAGCAGCATCCATTTAGAGAGAAAAAGTTAAGAGAACAGCAACTGGAGCAAGAGAAAAGAATGGCTTTCTTCTTCAATCTCCTCCTTTCTCCACCCCACTTTACTTCTCCCTCCCTCTTTCTTTGTTTAGGAGTTACAAAAGATTAAACTTGAATCCCAAAGAGATGAGAGACTTTGTCAGCAAATCAGAGACAATAGGTATGGCACCAGCTGTATCAGTCTGTACTTTGGTACCTAAAAACTAAAACAAATAAATAAATAAAAGTACCAGTTTTGACAACATGTGGCCAAATTTGCCTCTCCCCCTCTAGTCTACTGTATACATATTGATGCCTTTATCCTCTGTATAAAGTTTGAGCTGATTCTGATTGAAACTTTAAAGTCTGCCATGCATGCATTAGCATTGAAGTACATCTTTTGTAAAATAATGGTATTATTATTATTATCTTATTGACAGTCAGGAGTTGAGAGAGTTAGAGTCAAAGTTACGTGCTGGATACATGAACAAGGAAAGAGCAGCTCAACTTCAATCGGAACCAAAAGGTATTATACACAACTGGAGAATGCAACTCTGTCTCTTTGTATAATCATCACAGAATTTTATTACATTTTCTGATACATATTGACGTCCTTATGCTGTGTAGAAAGTTTGAGCTGATTCCAACTTCAATTTTTCGAGTTACAGCCATTTTAAGAAAATGCCAAAAATCTGAAAAATACCCAAGGCTATAGCCCATGGTTTTTTCCGAAAAATAGCTCTGAAATTACCCCAAATTTTTATTGCATTTTCTGATACATTTGATGTCCTTATGATGTGTAGAAAGTTTGAGTCAATTCCGACTTCAATTTTTTTAGATACGGCCATTTTAAGAAAATGCCCAAATTCTGAATACTACCCAAGGCTATATATGCCCATAGTTTTTTTTCCAAGAAATGACTCCGAAATTACCCCAATTTTTATTAAATTTTCTGATACATATTGATGTCCTTATGCTACAGTATGTCGAAAGTTTGAGCTAATTCTGACTTCAATTTTTCAAGTTAAGGCCATTTTAAGAAAATAGTTTTTCTCCATAAATGATTTTATAGTACAAAAATGTTTTTTCCCCAAAGGAATGCCTCTAAAATGACACCCAATTTTTGATACACATTGATGTCACATTTCCTTTCCTCTTCCTTAAGATATGAAAATCATTCAGGTGGCGAGAGAGAGATTCAGCGAACAATGCTGGAGCTGTTGAACCAGCTTGACAGGTTTGACTCAAGAGGTGATGTGAAAGTCATAATGGCTACCAATAGGATTGAGACGCTTGACCCCGCCCTCATTAGACCAGGTTAGTCACTGCACACATACAGTATACCATCTTAAGTCATCTATTAATCAACTGGACTAACGATTGTAGTGAATTTAGTAGCAATGGATCTTTAAAAGGCTACACGTAAGTCTGAAATTAAAGTAAATGCCACGCTGTATTTGTGGCATCAAGTTATGACAGGAGGCCAGATTACATTTGCAAAGGAACTTTACTTGCTATTAATATTTTAGGCCAGATATATTCATTTGGTACTGCTTTTAATGCAAACCCAATGCATCAAAATTTATATTTTGGATTATCAAAGCCACACCCATTATTTAACCACACCCATTAGGTCGTATCGATAGAAAGATTGAGTTTCCTCTACCTAACGAGAAGACAAAGAGGAGAAT